ATGTATGGACACTAATCGCCAAATACTGAAGTGTCCTTTTTTATAAGAAAAGGGAGCAAACAAGCGACAGAAGCACCAAGATCCTCATCGACGCCCATGAATTTAAATATGTAACAGCGTATTAAATGATAAGGCCGCGCTTAAACTCCCAATTCCTTATAAATTTGTACGTCTATCATATTATACATATGCGATGCTTACGAAGCAAAGTATTCAAATTCGTTTCAGATTTTGGCCATATTTTGACACACACAAAAATGCAGAATAAAGTGTACTAAGAAATAAAGACTACTACGTAAATGTATCACATAAACGAATTGAATTTTAACGTACCTTAATTGTTGTCAAGGTTTGATAAGAATTTCCGCCTCACGCGACTGTAGAATCTTAAAATTCGCAAATTCTTAACACAAGTATGCTTAATATTTACGAGAGGCTACGTTTAGTGTTATCTTTATTATATGCGAAGGTCGGCCTCTTCACATCTCGATACAAAAATGTATAGAGCGGCTAGACTAGCGTTTATAGAGCTCGCCTATTCGACTTTTATGTTTATGATCTCAGTGACAAAAGATTCTTAGTAAAGTAACGGTGACATTCCATAAACATCGTATTTAACGATAAGTTAATCCCTTTAATGTTTGGGATATCTTCCTTACTTCACTCGTGTAATATAAACAATTTTGTTAGCAAATAAATAGCAACTTAACTAAAGAAATCACGCGCTTTCTTTATTTTTAATCTTCCTTCTTACTCTTACTAATATTATAAATTTGAAAGTTTAGATGGATGAATGGATGTTTGTTAGAGTTTGTAGCCTAAAAGGCTTAACGGGTCTGGATGAAATTTGGCATAGATCTAGAGTATAGTCTGGAAGACCATATAGGCTACTTACTTTTGTTTTTTATTCAATTTAACGCAGACGGAGTCGCGGGCGAAAGCTAGTAACAAATAAATAAACAAGAAATCTATGTTATCCAGTTATAAGTTGGCAAAGATTCAATTTTAAGGATATTTCATACAACGTCCAAAGCATGCGGGTATAACGAGAAACAAAAGGAATAATGTTTCAATAAGATCTGACATGGGTTCGACAGATCTTTATACGCAAATGCAAATGACAGCCAAGAAGTCAGCTGTTACTGTAAAAAATTGAATAATCTTTGACCTAGGAATTTCCATATAGTTATTTACTTTTTATCTTAAAAACATGTTTACACTTTAGTTATATCTAGATAAATATGAATTGCAGCAATAACATATTTTTCACTACCCATGTTAGTATTTTAATTGATTTATGTTTATTTGTCCTTCTTTTCAGAAAATCATTTATCGCGAGCAACTAACATCCAAGAGAGAGATCCACGACTTCCGAGAGACAGGCCCAGTCCTCCGATTGGCGACCCAGGTAATTTTTACCAATATCTGTCTAATCTTCTAACATCTAAACTTAAAGAAACTTAGCAAACATTTTTATAGTTAAAAAATTAATACATTTAAATTGTTAAGTATGTATTCATCACTAGCTGTTTTCGTGCGGCTTCTTCCGCATGAAATTATGAAAATTTTATTTTATTGTTTGTCAAATTATCAATAGCAACTGTCAAAATGACATGACATGACAAACTTTGGCAATCTTGCTTCCTTGATGTTGGCAGCAACTTATGGTCTCTTTCCCACATTAGGGTTTTTATCCAAAATATTTACCCCCTAAATTTAATGGCGTGAAAATATATAGCCTAAAGCGTGACGTGCTTTGACGGGCTATTTGTTTTTAAAAAGGAATTATTCAAAAATATGCTGTAATTGCTGACATCTTAGGCAACAAAGAAGTGTGTTTATGCGTTCTTATAATAGTATAGATAGATATAATTTATCTTTAAATCTACTTCACTACTAAAATACCAAAGAAGTAATAGAATATTTATTATATTCCAGTACATGCGTTGCGTAAAGGGTACCTCAGTGAAGGCGAGGCGGACAGAAGAGAGTACGTGCTCACTGGCAGTCGTAAGATGGCCGATGCAAACAGGAAAGTAGAAGGAATCGGTCCCACAACTAAAGAAGGAATGCCAGTTGCGCTCAGATCCGTAAGTTTTTAAAAGTGTACATAGTTATTAGCATTTAAATATTCTGATATTAATTTAAAGTAATCAAGTAAAGAGTGGCGACTTATCTTGCTGAAGATAGATTAACTACTTACTACTAAGATCCTTTGTAAAATTTAAAGCAAAAGTGGAAATGGAAAACTTGGCTAAATTATTTTCTAAGGTTAATTTAAATTAAATTAACAAAAAAAAAGATGGATAATTGCTACAATAATGAATATAGAACAGATTTTTAAATTATTAATATAGTTATGTTTATAAAGCGTTTATATTAAATACATTTTTGTTTATTTGTAGGAGGTCAAAGATCCCTCGAGATGGTACAAGAAAATGTACGACACGATCCACAAAAACAAATACGACGGTAACTGTTTATTTACATTAATTTCTGCTTGATTGTAAATTATGGGCATAATTTCTATAGAATCGCACAAATATTTTCAAATTTTCTTTTTCAGACGATTATGTGACTATTCGATACAAAAATCGTCAAGGTGACTATCGCTGTTTTTTTTTTCCAAATTTTGTTTGCTTGCTTCATCTCATACTTTGCCACTTAATTATAATAATATCTATTGCGTTAACACTAGCTAGGTTACATTTATTAATTCACTGAAATATAAGTGTGATTAATGTTAAAAATTTAAGTTTTTATTGTTTGATCCGGTTAAGCTTGTTCCTACTTAATCGATTTAGCATGAACTATGAATTATTTTAATTTAATTAATACCTAAACAGCATCATCTACGTCTGCTCACGTAAATGTAATTTTGATCGGAAAAATCTTATGGCGCCTGTCAACCGATAATAGCAAATCCTTTGAACTTAAAATTAAGTACTCTACTACTCTATGACTAATGCAACAAATGGAATGCTAATCTAATTATAATTAGAACCAATAACCGTTTAATAAATATTGTAATACTTTAGTCTTTTATTTGGTACATGTTTTGAAATACTGAGTGGACTTTATTGGAATATTTTTTACTAATACTTGTAATAAAAAAGATTGGATTTTTACTTAACAAAAACTATTAATAGAAACCATCAAACAAAATACATCCTTATATCACCATCATAGCAATTTCAATGCCATGTGAACTAAATTGTACTTGAACTAAGTATTGTAAACTGTCAGCTTATGAAATGCACGAATCATACTTTTTTCGGACTATACCTTTAATTCTAATCTAATTTTTTAACATAAATCTTAACAAAAATGTTACACAATTGACTATCTTCGTTCGAGAAAATATTTCGATAATACAATTTTGAATTATAAATGATTCGGTCAATTCGCCTCCTAATCTGATAACAGATTTACTGAATAACTAAACAACAATCGGTCAGTGGATACAACATTGAATACATCTTTTATGCGCAGATCAACCGCTACGTGTTTCGAGCAGCAGATCCCAGTACGCGTACTTCGACCCGCGTTCAGGCTACCTCAGTGAGCCGGAGGGCGGGCTGAGCCGGCTAAGCGCGAGCGACGCGTACCACAGTGACGTCACCACCGGACACCGGCGACGCACCGCCTCCGTGCAGGAAGACAGGAGGGACGACTTCGCATATCTACCTAACAATAAGTCAGTACAAAGACAAACAATGTGCACAATTTTCGGTATCGCAAAGTTGTAATGCCTGAGGTTCAGACAATTTTAATAATTTAATAAGTAAAATATTTGATTTATGTTAGGCCCAAACAACTATCTACTTCTAAATTAAATTAATGTATGTATTTCGATCATTTATAATTTTTTGTTATAATCGAAATTTATATGACATTTCAAACACTTCGTTTGGTAAATGCTGCTTGCAATCTGTCAAACAATTTTAAAAGAATTTGGTCTTCAATCGTAAACTTATCATTTTAGATTATGTCGTTTCAGTATTTGACTGTTAATCACTAAAAGAGAACTAATCTGCTACGTTCGTTAATAAATAAATAAATTCCAAGTACGAAGGTGCAACACTTTTTAAATTTTTAGTTTGACTACTTCAGAATCTTTATTAATCTGAGTTTTAATGTCAAAGTGGTGACGATCGTCAAAAGAATTGCATTACAATTCTCTTCATCATTCTTAGGATAACACAAACCACAATATTTACATTCGCGTAGTTATTATAACAGCATTGTCTTAGAACAATTCATTAACAAGTTTTTTATTATCTCCGTAATCATTAATGTTGTAATGTGCTTGTAATACAGTTTAACATTATTCCTACTTTAATTTCCATGTATTTCGTAAATATATTTAAAGTTATTTTGTAGTTTGTTTAAAAGTTGTTTATAATGAAAATAATTTTTCAAGTTGTGTTTCACGTGTGAAATATTTGTGTGTTTTAATGGAAAACTAAATAGCGCTTGTGGCAGTTTTACAGTTAATTATTTAACGTGCGTTTTAGGTATAGTACATTAGCGTCAGCAAGAGCTAGTCAAGAAGTTTACAAGAGTCAACCGGGAAGAATAGAGAACTACGTGCCAGGAAAATCATCAGTCGTCGACAAGGAAGCGAAGCAGGTAAAAGTTTTATCATTTCAAACGGTGATCAACTTCACAACTAACTCATATCATAATTTAATACGGTTGGCAGTAACATCTCGTTCATCACATTCATGGAGACATTTCAATTATACCCAATATTAACAGCTCGTTCCTTCAAAAGACACGCTGAAATATCTTGAGCAACAAGATTTTTTTTCTTTTCTAGTGGTGGGACGAGGTCATGGACATTTTTGATGGGGTACGAATCTTTTTTTAGTATTATTATGTGTGTCTCTTCTACGTGTAAATAATTTTACTTGTTCTTTCTTCCTTGGCTTACTAAACTACTAAATTGTGTATGGCGGGGAGTTCTAGATTCTTGTATATTCTATTTAATAATCTTCCGATTCTATGTGACATGTCTAAGCTTTTTATATCTGCTGTAACATTGTGTTGTATTGACTGATGTGATAACGGTTTTCCCTTATGTGGTGGTCGGTGGTGGGCTAACAGTGGCTAGACGACAATTCTCCCCTGCCTCCTTACACCACGTTGCTGGCACGGGCCATCCAGAAAAGTGTAAGGCTCTCAACATGTCTACCTGTCTCTATGTAGCCAACGGCCATTATAATTGGTAAAACGCTAGTAGACATTTTCGTATTTGCTTTAGTTCATGTCTTATTGTGTATATTTTTAATTCAAAGTAATAAGAAATATTCATGGGTTCTGTAACTTAAAATTAAAGTAGCCAGTAAACGGAGTTTAATGCATATAATGTTCGTAAGATACGGGTTTCTTTACACAATAATAATATATTTGTAAAAACCACGACAGTTTAAAGTTATATATGGAGTTTAGTTTTATTCACTTTAATCTGTTGCTCAAATAAAAGAGTACTGGAAACACTAACAACAATCAAATCACAGATTAAATTAATGAATGTTAGTAATCAACAACATTTCTTCAAAGGTGTGTCACAAAATAACAAAATCATTAACTTATTTTATTATTGTCACGGATTAACACTAACCTTACATATATCAATGTAATAATTTGTATTGATTTCCAAGTAGATTCATGATTAAATGTTTATTACAATATTTATTTGTATAAATGTGTTAGGTAAACGCTTTTATGTTGACGCTTCCGTAGATGTTTGCTTTAAATGTGTTCGTGTAATAAAAATAATTATTATACTCTTCTATTATAAATACTGCAATATGACAGGTAAATAAAACAGATAATCAGAAAAATATTGTTAGTTACTTTATTTATTGTTTAATTCTTAGTTGAAGCAATTTTTTCCTTAATTTACTTAAGACAAAATTTAAAGAGCATGTCTACAATTGTCATAATTTATTGTTCAAATTTTCTTCTCTCACGTGAATTATATTATACAGCATGTTGTTTCAGTCAATTTTTTGGCACATACATGATGTTTCAGTGCACTTTGTCATGAGATATTTTGAAATAATTTAAATGATACTTTTGCAGCAAAACATTTCGAGTACCACCTCTCTGCCGCAAACATCGCCGAAGGAAAAGAAAGACGTTACAGCAACTATATTGTCCAAATCTAACATGGCTAGGTGGGTACTAATCCTATATAATATGGACCTACCAGCTTTCGCCTGCAACTATGTCTGCGAATTTAAAACAAAAAAACAACTTTTTAAGGCTACTTAATACATATGCTATATATTTTCTCCCAGCCTATGTTCTATATCTTTTCCAAATTTCGGCGAGATCCGTAAAGAAATATCTATCCATCCATTTATTTAAAGAACATGTTTCACACGGAAGGAGTCGCGTACGAAAACCAGTTTATAATATTAGTATGATGTTTAGGGCTTTGAAGGAATCCGGCTATGAGTCTGATTCCACACTAATTTTCCGTCGCCGTGAGGAGAGCGATGCCCCGCTGTCACCTGCGGAAAGGCGAGCCGCCTACAAAGATCTGCAGGCTGGCGGCGAACCCCCTCTCAGAGGGTTCCGCTCCCCTGCCCCGCCAAGGCAAGGTAAACACTAATATACAAAAATGTTTCCTGTTTCAAAGAAAATAAGTTGATACAATCACCTTTTAAGCGTTTACTTTTGTCAAATTTAACGTGATCTATTTGTAATTTTGTTGTAAAAATAATTTTGTACGATTTCTTCTTTTATTTAAGTATATTTTGATAATTGTATAATTCTATAATACAACAATTGTATAGCTTAAATAATGCATTATCTTATTACTAATTTAACCATAGAATTTTGAAAGTAAATAAAATAACATAAGCATGGTTTTTTAATATAACTTTTCGGTGTCGGTAACTAAAATAAATAGAAATCTTTATGTAACTTGTATGAGGTGAAACTCAATGGACGCATGTTTGAACAAAAATAAACTAGACTATTCAAATGAATCCATGACAAGGTCAGTGCATTTTCTGCCATTACGTGGGTACTGTCATATGGAAAATTATTCCACAAGGTCGTGATGTTATAGTTTTTTAAAACAACAAATATAGTTTATAACATAATTCAGATGCGGTAAGTTGATGTTATATATTTGCATGAATGCTAATAACAGAAAATACTAACATGGTGCCGGGAACTACATCTGACATCACGAAAGGTAACAAACAATGTATTTAATGCATGGAAATAATAAACTCCAAAGTTAAACACGCAATATATAATATCACTAGACATTTAAAATACAGCACATTTGTAGAACTAGATCAAGCGTAGGCTTATACACGCGTTAGAGGTAAGAGAAGCACAAGAGGCACGTGTTGCTCAAGGCTAACGAAATTCAACTACAAAATAGATAAAATGTCGATTGAAATTTCACAGATGAATCGGAAATTGAATATATACCGATCTCCTCCACTCTTACGAAGATTCGAGTTCACAAAAAAACTCCACAACTACATGAAATCGTCTGCTATCCATTAACAAACATACAATCTAGTGAATTAAACGATACTTCAAACAAGATTTTAAAATTAAGCAGACCAGACTTAACGAGAGATTTCCCTCCAGCGCCGCCGAGAAGGATATCATCAAAAAATAGCAAGACTCTAAAATTTGTGACTTCGTCAAGACATTCTTCGATATCACCTATAAGATCAACAGTAGAAGATTCAAATGTCAATTTCCTTAAAAACAGACTAAATAACAAGTTAAATAGACAAAATACACATGTCATTATTAAAAAAGATAACAAAACGAGTGCAAGTAAATGTCGTGAATTATCTACTTCTGCGCCTCCATCGGTTAATAGAAAAGATATGAGTTCATCTACGTCTATATCTAAAAGGAATGTTGTTGAGAGGGGAACTAGTAGCTTTAGTTCACCTAGGAGAACTTTGCAGCCAACAGAATACTCTACTCGAAATAAAACTGGCGAATTAGATAATTCTGTAATAATAGAAAATGGGGCTGGAAGAAAAACTCCTATTTCTAATATATTAGACAAAGTGACAACTTTAGATAAGCTATGGAGCTCACAAAAAAGAAATGAACGCATAGATGTTACAAAATACAAAGAACGACCAATAAATAAAATTCCTACAGCAACTGTTAGTAAGCCGGGCTCAAGTAAAGCTTCGACGTGCTTTGACACTAAAACATTGCCTAGAAATGTCACTCACAAAAGTAGGGATATGGTCCGTACTTCAGAAAAAATACAAAAACTAAAGAGTTCTACTGTGTTACCGAAACCAAATTTTCCGCTTACTCATAAAAGTACATCGACTAAATCTTCCAGATTGGGTTCATTACAAGCAACAGCTAACATTTCAAAGTCTACTTCTAATATTCCATCGAACACGAAAAAACTAAACAATATACGAACAGCTGTTGTGACAAATCTTAAAAAGAAAAAATCCTTAGAAAGTATTGTTATAAGACCCAGAAGTGTACCTTGCCATGAGACGTGTAACAAAAAAACAAAATATCCCACTTTGAAAAAAGAAAGTATTGCAAAATCAAAAAAGAACGACATATCGTTAGTAGAATTAGTAGCAGAAGATCAGTCTGAAAATAGTAGAGCAGAACTTTTTGATTTTAGTAATTCCAAGGACATAACTCGAAAACAAATAAATCCTAAAGATTTCAAAGAAACACGCGACTCTGTTCTTTCAGATTCTTTCTTCCGACATCTTTTTCTAGGTTCTGCGCCTATACCTGTTAATGCTATAGCAGAACAAAGTCTAATGAATTCAGTTCAACAAAAAGCAAAACATTTTCAATCTCTTCCGCAAACAACTACTCATAATACAGTCAATAAATTTAATTCATACTTAATACATAGGAAACCTGTTTCCCTTTCTCGTTTCAAGGTATGGGACAAAAACTCTAGTCCCACTCGTACTTATAATACGCGATCTGTATCATGGCCAGGCAAAATGGATGGAGAAATACGAAAATTCCAAAGCCTATCAAAGTCTGACGGATTTGGATCATTGTCTTCTTTATCGACAATTCGTAGCAAAAGCGAGCCTCCGACTAATAAAATCTATTTTTCTCAAACATCGAGGCCCGTATCTCCTAGTATTGTTTTCTACAAAAAGAAAGAAACAGAAAGAAAATCTGTATCACCTTCTAAAATAATTTATGTACAACCTAGATCAAGCTCTCCGTACACCATACATAGGACCCCGCATGTAACATTTTCGTCTGAGGAAATATCAAATGTAAAAGACGTTATTACAAAAACATTACAAAAAACAAAAATAACTCAACCTGAAAATGATTACACCCCCAATACAATTTTCTTTTCACAAACATCAAGGCCTGTATCGCCTAAAGTTATAAAAAGCACATCTTCCAAGAGTAGAAGCCAATCTATTTCACCCGTTCCATTTAGATCCCCATCATATCGCCGAATACATAATGCACGAATACAAAACCGGCAAGTTGGTGAATCGTGCAGAAAAGAAAATAGAACCAAAAGTGCTGATGGTTTAGAAATTAATAGATATTGTAAAAATGATCCAATAAGAGCTAAAAGTGATACAAATCTGTACTCCAACGATCCTGATTACGATGAATATATCCAAGACATACAAAACTCTAAACCTAGAACAGAAAGATTTCGTGAACTTAACAGGTATTACGCTTATTTAGAACGAGTTGCCGAGCTTGAAAAAGCAACGTCGACTTGTGATTTACGACATAGAAAGAAAGATGAAGAAATTATAGATTTCGACCGCTGGAAAAAAATAAGAGCAATAGAAAGAGCAGAAGAGGAATTAAACAATCTTTATAATAAATTAAAAGTAGCCCAAAGTGAAAACAGTATTCTGTTTTATCCTAAGGATCTAAATGATTTCCGATGGAACTCTGGCAAAGAAAGGGGGCTTAGAGTTAAAGAAAAATCAGTAGAAGATCTAAAAGAAGAGTTTCAACAGAAACCCGATCCAGAACCATCAGAATCAATGCAGTTTCAAGATCGGTACAAGCCATTGTGGAGAGGAAAAAGTGTTGCTGAAACAGCATTTAATATCAATAAAAAAGGTGAAACTGAACACAAAAAATCTTGTATAACAAATAAGCCTACAAAAACCGTCAAAACTATTAGTCAGGATAGTTCATTTAGTGAACTTCAAAAAAAACTGGGCTTTAAAAATCATTTATGGAGTAGTTTGTCAATGGATCAAGTAAATGCTTTAAAAAATCAATTAAATGCCATTTATAGCAAAGAATTAGAAACAAAATCAATCAAAGAAAATGACAAGTACACAGTTGAAATTAAAGATACAAATGAAATTAATAAACCAGCCCTACATGTCAGATGCAATTCTTTAATTACATCACCGAATATCGCAGCACAAGGGCATGAATTAAGTAAATCAGATTCTATTGCGGCAATAAGTTATTCTGGATCCTCTGAAAAAGAGATAAAAAATAATGTTAACAAATTACAAATGAGTCTAAGTGAAATTGAAAAAAAGAAAATATCACAGTCTTTAAGTAAAGAAGTTTTAAATAGAATAAATAAAAATGAAAAGTCAGAAGATGTTAAACCTTTGGAGAAAAAACAGGATAGTAATAGGGAAAGTGACAATACTTATACGAATAATAATGATGAGCTGAAATCACGATCCAATTTAGAAACTCATTTGTCCAGCCTTACAACTAGAGATATAGAAGATAAAAGAAAAAGACACGTAGTATATCCAATCGATAATACAGAAACTATTTATAATTCTTCCACAAGTGAGACAGAAACTGGTAGTTCAGACATCTCGAATAAAACTGTAATTTACAAGGGTCCCAGTAAGGAAGTTTTAAAGAAAGTTGAATATTTTGAATCTGTTACCAGTGTAACTAAACCCAATATTCCTTACAGCTCCAGAGAAAATTCTGAGGAATTTACGACTTCAATAAAAGTTAATTCCTTTTGTCATGATAATAAAGCAGATCAAAAAAATCTCTCTCAATCACAATCTTGCACAAATATTAAGGAACTCTTTGGTGAAAGCGAAAAAAACAAATTTTTGTCATTACCTTCCCAGCCCGACCTACATTTGAGATCGCCCTCGCCTTATTCGGAAGTATGCATTAGCGATCGACATACACCTGACACGCTACGGTATTCCAGCGACGAGGCCATGTGGCGCAGTCGGACTCCATCGCCCGATCCGGAGCGGTATTGGCGGGCTTACATAAAGCTGGCGCGCGCGGGGGAGGTGCGCCGCCTCGCCCGACGATTCGATTCGCCCTCGGCAGCCGGTGCCGTACTTCGCCGTCATCGAAGCGATCCCGAAATCGCGCGAAATGTTTTCAACATTAACTGGTCTGTGGAAGAAAAAAAATCGTCTCAACGAGAAAGATGTAAAGCCATACTGCCAGTGGCGAGAGTTCCACTGCGCCCTACGAACCGATTTATGCCCCATATCGATGTCATTTCAAAGTTAGCAGCGTTGCGTAAACGTACTTCGCCTAGATCCAGATCGGCCGAAGAGGCCTTAGAATGCCGTCCAGGAGAGGTGGAACGAATAAGAAGGCGTTTCGAGGCGATGTCACTTCTGGGTCCTATATATTCTTCGGCACCCGATGTCAGCGAGCTACACGATATAGCACCTTATTTAGCGGGCTCATGGATCGCGCATCGGTACCCGAAACCCAGTGATAACAACAAGTCAATTCAAAATCCTAAAACACCCATAAAATGTTGCAAATCCCCTGCAAAAAATGAAACGAAACTCGCGGTTTCTAAAGATCCAGTGAAACTTAGCTCTATATTAAAATGCGATCAATTAGCCAAGCAAGAATTTGATCCCGCGGTACATAGACCGGCCAGTCGCTATGAGCCCCCACGAGCGCCGCCGCGGCCGCCGCCCGCCGCCTGGCCCCAGCGCCTCGCGCCCTTTGTCACCGCTTCGCGACACGCCGTTACATTTCAAGGTTATTTACTGAACTATACGCTTCATTTATTTTTATATCCTATTGTGGTTTAAAATTGGAGTTTTATTGTTTCATCTGTTATTCGTTTTAACTACTTTTTTTTATCCAACACAACATAACAAAAACATGTGTTCTTATTGTCGATATTCTTTTGTTACTACCAGTTCGTTAAAATATTTTAATTATCATTTCATAAATGGATTTTGTTTATTTATTTTTATGCTTTTTACTTTTTTTTGTTAATCCCGTTAGAGAACGATTCAGCCCCGGAGCCGCCTCGAAGGGTACCGCATGGGAGCTATTCAGATACAGGCAAGTATTGACATTCCTTCAACTTTTTGTCTGATAGTGCATAACACAAGTGGTTGTTGCTGCCATCATCTTCACAATATATGTTTTACTACATCAACACTCAATCAACAACATTTTATTTAGTACTTCGAGGAATTTCTACTTTCCATCACATGATATCAAGATCCCAGCGCTGCGGATTTAACTTAACTGTCTGTGCGAAAAAGAAAACAATAGCCTTTGTTTTATACTTCCACCATATAACCAAAAAGTTATTCGTCTGACCGTAGTTAGCACATGTAGTATCAATTTGAGCATACGAATACGTCGTGCTATTATCAACCCGCGATTATTTGCTCTCAGCAATATATTTGCGTCATTGAGATTACCTCGGCTAAAACCTGTTCGCGCAGTTTTTTTTTTCGTAAATAGTTCGCCAAGCTTCCTGTTCACGAGCGGTTAGTTGTTGCGTTTATTTTGTTACAAAGAAGCCAATGGTATTGACAAGTTTTATCTAAAGTGTTTAGCGATAACAAAATATCAAGCTTATCGCCACATCAGTTTTACGCGAACCGTCGTGAAGTGAATTCCGGTCATGGTGATCTAGTTATGAAAATAAATTATTTCAAAATGAATGAAGTGCGTAAAAGTGATTACGGAAACGATATTAACGAAGGTAGTTCCCACAACAACTATGACGATGACGGATTCTTTAGTGACGTGCCTATATCGGGATCTCTATCTAAATCTTTATTGGCGTTAAACAAGTACGTTAAGAAGAATTTGCTCTACGATGATAGTGAAGAACCAAACGATGATTCTGCATACTTCTCAAAAGAGACCAGTCCAAATGAATCAGCCGTAAAAAGTGATTCTGATAGTGGAAAAAGTATAGAATCGCCTGATAATCGTATTGTATCAACACCAATCCAAGTCGCGGATGTGGTACTCAATATAATAAAGGTGAAAACGATAACTGAAATGCCGATAACGAATGAAATTAAAAATACTGAACAATTAACTGACGATTACAAGTTCCAAAAACTATACGAACACTTGACCAACGAACCGCCAATTGATAACCAAGTTATCGAAGATACAAGTAAACAGTCAATTGTTTCAACTGACGAAAATCAAGAAAACCGTTCGACTTCTCTCGATGACTTAAGTGCAATTACTAAAACAAGAGAATATAACAATAACACCGGCGAAGTTAAATTTAGAAACAAGTTGGAAAATGAAAATGACGACATGAAACGTCATACGATACATGACGTATCAGAATGGGTCAATAGAGCAAATATTTATCCAGATGTTTATGCACCTCTACCTTATAGTAAGCTTGACTTTTTTACTTCTATACTTTCCTATATACCTTCAGTGATGAATTTAGGCATTATCGGTATCATTACAATTTAAATATTTCATAATGAGAAGAAAAATGTAATCCTATCCAAATATCCATTTCATCATGCCTTTTTCCCCATAAAGGGATAGCCAATCATGGTATCTTTCATACATCTATCAGTTATCTTGAAAATGTCCGTATATATTTTTAATTTACTATGTACATATAGTTTTAAGCGGGAGAGCAACCGGTAGAGTCAAAGAAAGTGCAACATTTAACAGACGCCTAGTGACAGACGTCGCGGACGCGCGGCACCGCGCAAGTCGTTACAAAGTGTTGTGCTTATATTTTATTTTATTAGTGCTACTATTTATGATATTTGTAACACAAATTGCACAGAATAATTATCATTTTGTGTTAAAACTGAAATGGGCATATTGAAACAAATTAAAAAAATGACTACATACGGTTAGTTTTTTTTATTATTTCTTCTTCGGTAATAAATTAATATGAAAAGATTCACTTAATTTAATTTAATAATTCTTCTTTGAATTGTCTTATTTCCTATTAAAATATATTATTACAGTACTAAATAATTATAAAAAAAAAACAATTATATCATATCATTTTTCATCAATAGAAAACTCTTCTACATATCTGCAAAATGTAATCGCTACCCCTAAATTATTTTTTTTTAGTTTAAACTCTGACATAACTAATTTTATACATAAAACTACGTGAGTTATATATTTTATATAATGCTTTTCATTTGCTTATATTTGTTGTAATTAAGTCACTTTCAATTTTACACAAAAACTCATAGTTCAAAATGATAATAAGCGTATAAATTCAAGTTAGAAAAACGATGTCGTGTTGATCAAATTTAGCAGTAAAAGTCTCTTGTTAAGGTATATTTTAGGTTGTTTGTGGAGATGCCGAGAGCTAAGTATCTATGGTATGCTTAGTATGAAGTAGCATTGCGTGAAGCGTGCCGAGAATGCCTATTTGTTGTGAAAGTTGGCTGACAACCAACAAAATGCTAAAAAGGGCTTTCGTTTTCGTAAAGCCTTCGCGGCCTGTCACTTACAGCTGTGCCGGTATTGCCTTTTTTAGATCGTCTCATGTTTACGGATTAAATTTTAACTTCATTTGTTGCCGCAACCAAAGTACTTTAATGTTCATAGACAGTCTCTTAGTGTTCATTTAGGATGACATTTAACGACTAAGGGACCTCTTATCTATATAAGCGTGGACTATGCATGAGCATTATTGGAAACTGTCCGCTCCTTGTTTTTTTTAGAATGAAAGAATTAGCTTAGATCTAAGTCTATCGAATCCCTTCAATTATGGCAGTTAGGTTACCATACATAATTATTGTCGATGTCGTGTTCAAGTAAAAAAATCAGAATTTTGATATCTATTTTATTATTTGCTAAACTACTTCAAGCATTTCATTCCCTTTACGTAATACCTTTCGTCTCTTTCATGTAACGATATATGTATATGACGTTATACATCCAGTCTTCGAGTTTATCGAATCAAATATAAACAATAAACTTATGAATAATAAAACAATGTTCAGATTCCATAACAAGAACATTGCTTCCAAAATATTTTTTGTGTAGATTGACCATCAACGCAATTGCTTGATATTCGTATGAGATGTTCTTATGTAGTTGTTCTATAAAATTCGAATCTTGAATAACTGCAGTTAGACATACGTTTAGGTTCTTTAAGCAAGTAGGTTGAGACATTTACTACGTCTGATATACCATTTTGATAATACTGTTGTTAGAGTAAAAATACGACACTAAATTCGGATTCATTGTTACATCACTCAAAATCAGTTGTGCGGAACAAACAGCTAAAGTATTGAATAGACGAAATCAGCATATCATTCTTTATTATTACTTCCTTCCGTACACTAGTCAGCATATCAATAAAGTATAGATAGTTATTGTTAAATTTAACGACCATTTACTTTCTAGATATTTCTATTTTGCTATTTGAAGAAGTTAAAAACGATCATAAATTGTTTACAACGAGAGGTCTAAATCTATGCCAATATTATAAAGAAGAAAGATTTGTATTTTTGTATGTATTTGATTCACGCAAAAACTACTACGTTGTTTTTAAAAATTCTTTCACCGTTAGAAAGGTAATTTATCTGTGAGTAATATCATACTAATCATACTTCATACTAATATTATAAATGCAAAAGTTTAGATTGATGGATGGATGGATGGATGTTTGTTTGAGTTTGTAGTCTAAACGGCTGAACAGATTTAGATGCAATTTGGCATAGATGTAGGGGATAGTCTGGAAGAACACATACGATACTTACTTTTGTTTTTTTAATGCCACGCGGACAGAGTCGCGGGCGAAAGCTAGTATGCTATATTGTTAAATTTCACGTGGACGAAGTCACGAGCAACAGCTAGTTTATACCAACTTTATATTTCCTTCAGTGGAACAGTAACAGATATGTTACGAACACGCAACTATCTACAAATACCCGAAGCCCTTGTTAAGTAGATTGATACAATCCTCTTATACCCGTATAGGGAACGAAATAAAACAATTTCCGTTGCCTTGACATTATACTGAATTATATAAAGAGAAATAATACCAGTATCAAATTAAGTAAACTTTGTATACTCTCAATGTTATGTTTTAGTTTAAACGTAAGGAATGTATGAAGACAAAATCTTGCGATTTATTTTTTTATCTTTAAATTATTATTAAACCTTAATTAAGCAAACTTTTCGATTGTTTTAATTTTTGATTTTCTTCCTCATTAACATATTTACTTAGCTATTTCATTTCTGTGCGTACGTCTCGAATGCAGTCATTGGAAAATACTAGTATAGTATTCAAACCGGTTCCATTCACTTCGTACAAAGTTACGTTCCGTCACATAACAGCCGAAACTTTAAGCCGATGATCAAGTTACCGCATCGATCGTCACCATGATGCCCATTCAACGACCACTTTCACTTCTATGTTTTTACGTATACTATTAATTCAATTTAAGCTACCATCGATTCTTACGGTTTCTTTAGTGTCCAGTTGTAGTTTATAGATGTAATATTCTTTACCTGAACGATTTTCTCTATGGTAAACCTAGAATCGTTTTAAGGTAAATTTTAATAAGGTTTCATAGTTTATACTAATCGTACTCAGAATTGGTTAGGCAAACTAACGACGTACTAACGTGTACGTCGTCGTGTACGAACGTACTATGTGACCTTTAAAACAAATGATTGCAGCTACCGCTGCTTTTTTTTATCATTTGAAAATTATAACTAGCTGTTGCCCGCAATTTCTCCCGCGTAAAATTAAGAAATAAAAAAATGCCTATATTACTCTCTGATAACTTAGCTTTTGAATGTTTAAATTGGTTCACTAGTTTTTGAGTTATTTCAATACATATATAAATCCAAAAATACAAATCTTTGCTTTTTATATTGGTATAGATATAGTTAAAGCCATACATGTTTCGGTTTCAATAATACCGCTGCGTATTCACGACACCTCTGTAAAATAAAACACCCTATATATCAAGTATAAATTCTTCTAATCCGATATTTGAATCGACCTATTATTCAATAGAGATGTTTATAATAATATCTCATTAGATGGTATAAGTATTGTTTGAGGTATGCGCGTGCGCGAGTAAAGGGCATTGTGCGCAGAGTCCCCGTCGCGGCGGTACGTGGAGGGCGACGTGAACATCCACTACCGATGCCCGGTGCGCCGCGAGCCGCTGCCGCTGGTGCCGGAGCGCGAACTCGCGCGACACCAGGCAGAGCACATGAAGCGACTCTACCGCGACCAGAAGCGACACAAATACCTACAGGTAACATACAATACACTATTACTACACAGGTAACATTATGTTACCCACAGGTCAATATTACTTCATCGGGGTTTAAGATCAAACGACTTTTCAATGACCGTTATTTCAATACGCGATAGTGAGTGGAATATCAAATCTCGTACAAACAACAAGGCATGAATTTCATTATATTCTATATTTGTGACTATTTGCGAAAACTTGTAATTAGCCTTCAGTTTTCGTTTGTTTCGCTACTTTTGTAAGTTAGCTTTAAGTTATCCATAAATAAATAAATAACCATAGGTAATATTATGAATGTCACCAAGTGGGTTACCCATCTGGTAATTTTACTACATAACAGCCGTAGGTAATTACTTGTAGTATCTATAGTTAAAAATATTAGTAGGTAATATGCGTAGAGTAACCTATGTATTGTTTATTATAGGTAACATTATTTATATTTATTTAATTTCGTCCAGCTATACTTTAATTTGTGTGAATTAGTCACTACTGTTCTTTTATTTTAAAACGTATTGGATTCTATTTTAATTTAAAACAGCTTATTTCGTTTACGATCACGAATGTACGATTACTACGTCACTCAACGTTGATACTATAAAACTGTTTAATCTAGTTAAGTCTGGCACGCAATGCCGGTTTGCTCGATATTCGTGAAATATGTAAAGTGGACCGATATAGCAATACACAGTACACTTTAGTGACAAGCAATGCAACGATTTTATCGATATAATATTGAATCTTATCTCCTTTATTGACGTAACTTGATATCAAATATTCAGAGATCAACAAGTGCATTCATAAACACACAGTACACTAGTTAATATTATATCTTCAAACTCTATAATGTTTTTCAACGCGATTCGTAAAAGGTTTTACAAACGTTAACTCCATTTATGTTTAATCACAATCTGCACTCTAAACCTACTGCAATTTCCGAGAATATAAGTGTGGAATTTCATAACCCAAATGTCATCAACCTCTCGAGCTATTTGTATAAAAGAGATCAAAACAAAAGAATAGAAAACAATGCAGGATGTATGCTTGTTTCCGTATACAAATGAACATGGAAAACCAGCTTTTAAATCAAAAACACGTATGAAAACATGATCTGTAGGTGTGGTTTCACCGGCGTTATGTTTTCCATTCAAGTTATATTATGCGTAGGCAGCCTCATTTGTATAATACCGCTGATGCGCACGCGTTTGTTTTGTTTTTAAAGCGAGAGAAGTCATTCAATTGTTTCTATAGCTATCGGTTATTTGAAAGTTGGAAAATAGCAACTAGAATATTTTTGAATTAAAATTTTTTTCTCTTAAAAAAGCTAAATAAAACTAATCATTCCAACACTATGTTTAGAAAATTAGAGGCAAATGTGTTGCATGCGTATTGACTCTGTAGCGAGATCTAAGTGAAATTATTTACACAACCTCCGCTTAGATGTGAATACATTCGTACTGAGACTTCGGGCCCTTAAGTGAAATCGAGCAATATCCGAGCGACGTCGCTAAGCCGGTACTTACGGTAAACATTGCTTTTACTTTCACGACGAACACTCTAATTTTATCGATCAAAACATTTAGGACAATTATTAATACGATGAGACATTAACCTAATGCAATAGTATTATACATTTTGAATATGACAACCCATTTCTGTATAATCGTAATTAATAGCAGAATAATTTACAACTTTTTTTAACGGTTAAGCGTTAAGAGGCAACTAATTAGTTAAAACGCCAAACCACAAAACAGTTTGAAACGTCTATAAATAGTTATCATAACTATTGCGATAAGATATTATTGTTATATTGCACAAAATACAAAAAGAAATGTCAATAAGCGTGACATTATTGTTTGAAATCCCTGGCGTAGATAATTACGCCACTTTATTTTGTGCTAACAAAATATCTCGACTTTCTAATTTAACTTTGTCAAGTATTACATGTTTATAGCGACAATAAAAATAGATTTTTACTATCATTTCGATTACTGTAATTATTGTCAATGAATGTCATTTTGCGATCGTGTGAAATCTTGTTGTGTTAATTAAAACACTCTTTTGATCATCTCAACAAGAAATTAAACACAGACTAGAATGCGTGGATAATTTTAAAAGTGTAAATATTTACTAACAAAACCAAATGTCGCTAAAACATAATATATACACACAGATCCGTAAAGCTGCAAATTACATGAAGTCTAAAACCTATTGCAAAAAACTAATTGTTATTCCGTTTTCACTGATTTCTCGTTACCAAAATAGACAAACAGCGTAGAATTTCGGACAATGTTTAAAAATTTTGTTCACGTACAAATCTAACATTCACTTAGATATCTTTGAAGGAAATCGTGTTAAATATAACAAATACAGAACTATATTCTCCAGATATTCGAATAACATTTGCTTTAAATATACACACAAATATGTGAAAATGATTATTAACTCCAGCTATATTCTTACATCAATTTATTCAAAACATTTTTAGAAAAGATAAACGCTAAACAAGATGCGAATTACCTTGAATCGTTAGTGGCTTGACCCCTTAAAGACGTTCATCCAACCGCAAGGCATTTTCTCGTATCACAACCACAAATACGGAACGCAACCTTCATTCAACCACATACTTAATGCATGACTAATCCATTGACATGATTAGACCTGCCTTCATTACAATATTGTCTCAGTAATTAATCGATCACAAAAGAAAAACCATTGTTAGAAAATCATATGTTTTCTCGAGCAGACGTTTTACATTCAGTGAATTTGATTAAATTTTTCAGGAAAAAGACATTCATCTGTTCGACATTGAAGCCTTTGATGCATCAATAAAGGTGATATTTGGAACGTGTGATTGAAATTTTACTTTTGCTAGGGTTGCCACTTTAAACCTCTCATACTATCTACCCTAATTTAGTAAATCGTGGTTTCAAAACGTTTGGTAAATGCAATTTTCAGTGGCAGCCCTGCTTGTAACTAAACATTTTCCATGTCATCTAATTCTTTAACATTCCTTATTTCGTTACTAATAACAGTTGTGAAAATAAAAACACTGGCTTAGCTAGATTTTCGTATAAAAATGAATGTAAATAAGCAATGAATACGAAATATGTACTTCTTATAGCTCTGAAATCGCTTTATATTCAACTGTACCTTAACTTAATTATGTTTCATAAAATTGCTTGAATTGCAGGAGCTTCAAGACATGCAGAACAGGCGGCATCAGGATAACTTTATGCCGTCACAGAAGACCGTCGTACCTCTGAACAGATATGATGAGGCGGAGAAGTTGGTTGCAAGAGCGTTGTACGCATTCAGTGGACAGACGCCGAGAGAACTGTCCTTCAAGAAGGGAGACCTGATCAATGTGAGACGACAAATCGATTCAAATTGGTACGAAGGAGAAGTACACGGCAGAATTGGACTGTTCCCATATAATTATGTAGAGGTAATATATTTCATTTCTTAGGTACTGCATTTTTGGCATCTTCTATTTGTACTTTCTTTCTCTAATTTTGCCTTAAAACAGTTGATATCTATAACTTAAAACTAGTATGGGTAGGTTTTTCTCCGGACTTGAACAATTAACAAGTTAGACCATGTAAGGTTCTGTGAAAGGTGAACTTAGACAACATCAACTTTATTATAAATCCCTACAATATAGCTACTTGTACAACTTTTCAAAGTGAAGCCATTAAAATCCACTTTATTTTAATGGCTCTTTTTACATTAACATCTATCTAACACATCTAGAAATTTTAATTAGACATCGTGACGTATCTTTCATTATAGATTTAATAGGTTAACTTAATTATTTAGTTATTTACAACAAGTAAATAAAAGCGTAGTTTCCTAATAATTCGTATTTGCTATAGCGTTATAATTAAACTTTGGGAGTGTAGTGACGATATTGTTATCTATAACATTTACCTCGCTGATGACTAACATGTTTGCGCACGTTGATATATAGCTCGAAGATAAGAATCCTTGAGATTTGTTTGCACAGATTAGCAATACCTAAACATTCAGCAATTGTCATAAAGACAATGGTACAATTGAATATTCTAGTTATTGTATATCTTAGATCATATTTTCAAATCTGTAAAATGTAAAGATCTGCTCGTAATTATCATAACAGTATTGTTAGTAATACTAGTAGATATTAGTAATACTTATCTAAAAATCTATTGGTTTTTGCTAATGTTAAACGTCACCAAGGATCTTTGTTTCCTTTTTGTGTAGACATTGATCATTAAACTAGTAATCAAAATAAATAAGGAATATTAACATTTAAAAAAATCATTACAGATTTTAAAAGGAGACACATACACACATTCACCAAAGAAGCCAGTTTCATTAGAAGGACAAGCTCGGGCGAAGTTCGACTTCACAGCGCAGACGAATCTCGAACTGCCGCTGAAGAAAGGAGAGGTGGTGGTGCTGACGCGGCGCATCGACCACAACTGGTGGGAGGGCAGGAACGGCACCAAGACCGGCATCTTCCCCGACAGCTACGTCACCGTGCTGCAGGAGCCCAGTCACGCTGAGCCTCGTGAGTTTTTCAAATTAGTTAATCCGATAACACTTTAATATTTAAAATCAGGGATACACATGATAATTGAAGCAATATAAAAATGATGGGATTTGAAAGTATTTAATTATTTAAATTTAATAAGGTGGTAATTTTAGGTCGAATTAATGCCAAAC